GTTGTACTTGTTTTGTTCTTCGCCCATAGGTCGAGTGCAATAAATTGTCTCCTAACTTAAATTTATGTGTTTTTTTTTTTGGGTTATGGTGTTGGTTAAAGGGATATCATTATATTGATTCAATTAGTAAAAAATTATGCGTGCCTTGTCATGTGTTTTTAGAACATTTTTTTTTCTCTATTCCTGCTAGTTCCCCTCATTTGTCACATTTAGATTTCATTCACATTGATCCTTTTCAATACTAACATTGAAGAAACTTCATCCACTACATCAGCTTCCCCTACTAATGGCTCAACACACTTTGATACTTTAGTTATTGATATATCCACATTCCACTCTCCACTTCCTATGATTTCTCAATCATCTCCTGAGGTTGCGAATGCTCCTCCACTTCATCAGTCCCCCCATGTTTGAAAGCCTATTATACTATCGTATTTTGTTTACTTCTTTTATTCTAGTTCTTTTGCTTCTTTTATTACTTTAATTCATCGTCTCTCTGAATTTTATCTTTTAGAGCGGCTATTTGTGATCCATTTTGGCAGGATACTATGGTTGAGGAAGTTACTGCTCTACATTAGACTCATACATAGGATTTGGTACTGCTACCATCTAGAAAACGTATTATTGGCTCTCGTTAGGCCTATAAGATTAAAACTAAATCTAATGGATCAATTGAGCAATACAAAACTTGATTAGTTGCTAAAAGCTACTCCCAGGAGTATGACATGGATTATGAAGAAACATTTGCTCCTGTTGCAAAAATAATGATTACAGTGGCCTCTGTTCGGCGATGGAAAATGTATAAGATGGATGTCAAGAATGTCTTTTTAAATGGTGACCTTCATGAAGAAGTTTATATTACTCTTCCTCCCATGTGTTGCTCACCAAATCGGTGAAGTTTGTAGGCTTCTAAAAGTACTTTATCGGCTAAACAACCATCTCGTGCTTGGTTTGAGAAGGTCTCCATAATCGTTACTTCACTTGGTTTTATCTCTAGTCGTTATGATTCACATTGTTTCTCAAAAGTACAGGTGCATGTCGCATTTTATTGTCATTGAATGTTGATGACATGACCATTATTGGTGACGTAACGCTCCAGCACATTCAAAGTTGTGCGACCATCCAACTTTTGAGGATGAAAGTTTTTTAAGGTGGGTAGTCTATAACACCCTACGTTTCTCAAACTGGTTTAACTTTAGCCCGTGACTTATTCTTGAAATATTTTCTTAGTTGCGGCAATTTTAAGTTTTAATTGTTTCCTGCTTAAGGTCGTTCAACGACTTTTAATTTGTTTTGGCCTAGTGGTTAAAGAGACTAATTCAATTTGGAGAATTGAATCCATGGGTTGTGAAGATCAGTGTTAGAATTTAAGAAGGTAGTTCGTTGTTAGATAACTCAGGTTTCAAATTGAGTTATGTAATCTTTTTCCTAATTATTTTAAGAGTTTATTTGGAAAATCCTTTAGTTTAAGTATTTACTTTATTTTTAGCTATCTCGTGGAATTTTGTTTGGGAAAAGGGAAATTTTAGGAATTAGACCCTAAGATATTTCTTTTAAGAAATATGAGACTTTTTATCATTTTGGAAAATACGAAATAAAAAGGAAAGAAAGGGAAAAATAAAACAAAAAGGAGAGAAAATTCTAAGGCCAGTTTAATCACCCGCAATTATAATGGAATGAATCGGAATGAAAATGGATCGAAATGAAATCAATCGGAATGAGAATGTTATTCCTTTGATGTTGTTTACCAGAAATTTTCTGGAATCGTAATCAGAATTATTTTGATGTTGTATAACAAAATTGTCTGAAATCGAAATTAGAATCAGATATATAACAATTACTAGTATACCAATTTATTCTTTTTAGCTGAATACAAATATGCTAATCTTTTTCAGTTACCCTAATAATAAATTTTAATTTAATTTATTACTATATTATTGATATTAAACATTTTTTTATTATAACAATTTATTTAATATTAATAAATACTAAACAATTATAATAAAATTACATCAAATAAAATATTTTTTATTTGAACAACCATAATTTCATATAACATATTATTAAATTTTATTATTCTAACATTTTAAAATAATAATTTCTATTTTAAAAAATGTATTGATATCAATTAATATAAATTAATAATATTATATAAAAATTGAAATATAAATGGAGAAGAAATTATAAAAGTATAAAAAAAATAATTAAAAATTTTACGAGTCTAATTAATAGATGAGAGAGAAAGGCTAAAAGTTGTAAATTAATTATAATATATATGTGGGTCACACAGAATAAAGAATGAGAATGAGATTGATAGAGTTGTACGAGTGTAATAGAATTATTACCCTTTTAGGGAATGAGATTACAAAGTTTGAGGTGGGTCCCACCATTTATTTCATTTCTACAATTTGGTAAACATCATAAAAAAGAATGAAAGTTTTCATTATGATTTCTTGATCACGATTTCGGGTAAGTAAATGAGGCCTAAGTTCTTTTCCTTTCCCCTTTTTGTTGCAACCGCCAGCCCTCCCCTCTAGGTTTCTTTTCGGCAAAAGCCCTTCCTCCAACGAGCGCAAATGTGGGGCGACGTCTTCCTTGCGACATTCCAATGACACTTCACGACAAAGTAACACAAAGTAGCATTAGCAACCTCCCATGACCCACGAGCGACATGTTCTCCTCAGAACATTGCAAATAGCAGTGGCGACACAACAAGCGGCAACGCGGGAAATCTCCAGACCCGACATCCTCCAGCGGCAATGTTCTCCCAGTAGAATCGACGGCACGACGGCAACATCCAACAAGTCTGGTGGCGTCTTCGAGCAGATTTAGAGGCTTCATTCCTTCTCCAGTGATTTTTGCCACGGATTCAACAAACCAGTGGTGGTGCATTCTTAACAGAATCGATTAGCGGTGGCGACAATAGCCTTCTTCTCTAACAACCCCTTAGGCGACGAGCGGATCCAACGATATCCCAATAGCGAACAGTAGTAGGTTCCTCCTCCAGCGATCAGATTCTACAGCAGGCTCTTTCCCGACGTGGATAGAAGCGCCGGCGCAGCGGGTTTCTTTCCTCCAGAACCTTAAGCCCATATCTGGGACCCACAAGCAGTGCGTGCAAGACCCCGCTGCAACACCCCTCCCTAATGCAAACACCAGCCTTCTGATGACGCTCGGTGTTAACCCACCCTTGCTCGGACTTAAATTCGTGATACTCACTCCTTCTCGGCATTAGACCAGCAAGCCTGAACCTTTTCGAGCTCGATTCTACAAGTGTCGGACTCCTTCGCATTGACACAATCGTAGCCAAGTGTTTTGAATGAGGTTATGTAGGTAAATATTAGCATTGACTTTTTATTACAAAAATATGTGTTGATAGGTTTGTTTGACCACGATTTTGAACCCTTTCCCATCATTATTTGCCAAAAATAACTACATATTCTTAAAGTAGAATATGCATAGAACATTTATGGATAAATTGCAATATATAGTACTTTAGGAAACAAAGGAGAAAAACATGGTCAAAGTTCGAAGAAAATCACAGTTTCATGTTGATAAGTTTATTTTTCCTGCTGATTTCATAATTTTGGATTGTGAAGGAGAGAGCTTGAACCTGAAAACGAGCTTGGAAGAGACGATTTGCTGCTGGAGGAATGACTTTCTTATATAGGCCCTTGAGTTGGTTGAACTTCCCACCATTTTAGGTGGAAATGAGTTACCTGACTCACACTTCTCAACGTTGGACTTTAGTATATAATTCATAATTTTGAATTAAACCCAGAAAACTGTTATTTTCTTCTAGCACAATTTTGGAGTCCAATTTTACCAAAATGTGTGTTTTGGTTAATGAAGGGCAAGAAGGACATTTCCTACGTGTTTGAATCAAGCTACAACCGTGAGTCTAAGTCAAATAGAGGTTGTAATTAGGTGAATCTTAACTCATTTCCACCTAAAATGGTGGGAAGTTCAACCAACTCAATGGCCTATATAAGAAAGTCATTCCTCCAGCAGCAAATCATCCCTTCCAAGCTCGTTTTCAGCTTCATTTACCTTATCCTTCGTTGTAGATCTTGTTCTTAGGCTTTAATTTTATATTTTGGTTGTTATTTCCTTGTATTTTCATACTTTTGCTTACCGTATTGCTTTTAATTCAAGTTCTACCTTTTGTTCTTCATTTATTATGTTCTTCTTACGTTCTTTAGCGATTTACACTCCCCACGCTTGAAAGAGAAGAGAGTCACGCTAGAACTCCTTGTACGGCTTATTTATTCGTTTTAAGTCGATGAAAAATACTTCATTTATGTTTTCGTGTTTTTCTTTCCTTTAATTATGCACTAAATTAGTTATCAACCTATTTGTGGAATGCCTTAGTCAAAATGATTTGATTTTCAACACGCTCGGGATTTTGCTCATAATTGTGCCTGACACTTTTTTGGGTTGGTTTTTAAAAACTTCTTTTTACGTCTTTTTTCTATGTGGCCAATGGGAACTTGATTTATACACTAAAGTCCAACTTTGAGAAGGGTGAGTCAGGTAAAATAATAGGAAACCAATATGGGATGTGACTTAGACATAAGCGCATAAAACATGGTCCTAGACATAGGTGGTCTGACCCATTATGCAAATGAGTTGATAAACATTCTCTAGAATTGTAATCACATCAAGAAATACTATTTTAGATTACCCTGATCTCTACAGCAACCAAAAACGGTAGTGAAAGAGTAGAACTCAAAATCCCAAGAAATGCCAGAATTGGGCCTAGTGCAATTTTCCAATATAATACCCTTCTTTATTATAGAATTTTATTTAATTAAAAATGTGGTCAACTAGATATTTTTTTTAAGAAAATGAAGAAATGATAAAGACGTTGGAAAATCTTAAAAAGAGGTAAAAAAAATAATAAATAGAAAGGAAAAAAAAACGTGAAGGGTTGGGGAGTAAGAGAGAGAAAATGAAGATAAGAAAGAGAGAGAAAAGAAGATAAGGGAGAGAGAAAAAGACAGAACAAAAAAAAGGAAAAGAGGAGGAAGAAAGGGAGGTTATGGGAGAAGAAGAAGAAAGGAAAGGGAAGAGACAAGGTTTCAAAATAGTCGGAAAAACGTGGATAACACCGAAAAACGGATCTTGAAGTTTAATAGGCAACGTTTTGAGGGTCGGTAAGTCGGTTTTCCTTTCCGTTAGCTATTTTTCAAGGAAAGTAAATATGGGTTTTCTTCCTTTTGCTCAATAACTCCTTCGGTCCTTCATTTTTTTGTGAAATCTCTGTTTGGGAGGAAGTGTGAAAGAAGAAAAGAAGGTAAATTTACTTCCAATGTGTTGGTATTTTTCACGGAAGGGGAAATTTGACTTAGGTAAGGATATGGGTTAAATGGTAGAGATTGGTAAATTGAAGAAGAATCCTTGGATGAGTGAGGAGTAAATTTTGTAATAAAAGTAAGTCTTTTGCCATAAAACTAAATGAGGAGAAAAAAAGACGTATTAGTACGAAATTAGGAATTACACTTTTGTTCAAACCAATTGTCATGGAAGAGAATAAGTATGGAGTGAGTTTAGAATTTATTCTCCTAAAATTATTAATTCATGTTAGTGTTAAAATTGATGTTACAGGTGAAGCAGAGATCGAAACGGCTTACAACCCTAACTCTTCATGCCAACAGTCCTGTGAGTGGTTACTTTATGAAATATTTTCATTATGGTGATAAATGTGAATTTGAGTTATAGAATCTAGAACAGTTCATGATTTATGCAAATGAGAGAGCTTCACATACTAGGGAGATGACAAGAATTTATGTTTATTAAGTGAATTATTCTATTCTAGCAAGCAGTGAAATTCTGGAGTATGAAGAGGTGAATTGCGATTACTTAGTTGAACTTATGATTTTAGTACTATGGAAAATCGGGGTAATTATATTCATGAACGAATGGAGTTACTATGACATAGTTTACCCTTGGTTTGGTCTATTAAGAGTTGAATTTAGCAATTTATGGATTTAACATAATTGACAAAGTTCAAGTTATGTTTGACATTTTATAATTATTCGTAAATTTGAAATGATGATAGTAGTAAAGCTGTTGATTCCATTGAAAAGAATAGTGATTGATTAATGAACTATGACTACAACATCATATTACAAGTTGATGGCATTAGAACAATCTTGGCTATAGTGTTGTTTGTGAACATGAGTATCATGGTGGAAATCAATTCCAAGGACTAGATTGTATATCCATTGTGATTTCCACTATACATGTATAAATGTACCCTATAGAATATATATGAATGAATTGTTCTGTTTCACGTTTTGGGGTGTTCTCGACGTGTTGTATGACCAGTTTGCTCTATTATGTCTCTTGAGATTATTGATACATAGCAAGACCAGGATTTTCTCTGCTGTGTATCTTGAGATTAGCGATACATAGTAAGACTAGAATTGCTCTACTACACACCTTGAAATCTCTTGGTATGTAGTATGACCAGTTGCTCTGCTATGTGTGGAAGTAAAGTTCATGCATAATATGACCAGTTTTCTCTACTATACCCGTTGAGATCTTCCGTGTATAGTTACGACCAGTTACTCTACTGTGAGTATCAATGTTACTCTATGCCAGCATGACTAGTTTGAGCACAAAGATGATGAAGAGTACTAAACTCATATTTTAGCTTAACTAATAAATCGTTTTTGTTTTCATGAACTTAAAATTGATATATGTATTTCAAGCTGCACGCTACAACATGTACGTAATAAGTACTTAACTCAAAAATGTGTTGTTATATATACATATTTTCATTTAAATATGGTGCCCGATTCCTGCTTAATATTCTACCACTCACTACGTTGTTAGCTCACCCTTTTCTCTTGTTTTTGTTTGGTCTATTCTACCAAGCAGCACTTGAGTTTCAAGAACCTACTGTGTTCAATAGCACCACCGAGTTCCTTACCTAGATCTAATGTTGTTTTGTATGTGCATGTAGTGGAGATGCATTACTTTATTTGGAGTTATATTGTAACTAATTTTGGCTAGCATATCTTTAATGACGTTATCAAAATTTTGAGAGTTATGATGAATTGTAAACTAAGCCATAGACATACTGTCGTGACTTTTGTGATGTGACGTTTTCTTTTAAGATTTCTTTTGAATTAGAACTTGGTTGGTGTGTCACGAGGCACACTTGTGGTAGTTTGGAAATTAAGTGTTTTGAAGTGTACAAAGCTAAATATGTATATACTTTTCAGGTGTGTTTTATCCGATGTTCAACGGGTACCTTGACCATTTTTTTTTATTATTCTTATAGGCAAAAATTTTCTAGCCATCTATTTATTTCCAAATGTTAGTAGAATTCATGTTAGTTGATAATGGTTTTTGAAAGTTAGCTTCAATCTGTTGTTGGCACGTCACATCCTAGGTGGATAAGGTGCCCTACGTTGGGTCGTGTCACCCAACAAAGTATGTTTTCCATATTTTGAATCAAAGCTAAGGTAGGAAGCAAAGAGGTTGAGTTTTATCAAATTGCTTGATAGTTAAAATTCCAAACAACAACATTTCATCACTATTTTCTTCATAAACCACTATTGCATATTTGAACCGCTTACTTCTTAAAAGCTGTTTTGAAAGCAACAAGTCCTTGAGGATTCGACTTTGGATTACTCTCAAGCATTACTTGTGACCGTGTGCGCTTGCACGAGTTTCTAATCTTTTTAAAGGTAGAGAAAGTTCTAACAGTAACAGAGGATTCGATCTCTCTTGTCGATTTGATTTAAGTGTTCCTATTTGGATTCTAACCCGAATTTTTATCCATTTGTTTTAGGTATCGGGTATTGAGGTTTAGGCACGCGTTAAGTGTCGGCTTTTTGACCCTTAATCTAGGTTAATTAATTTAATTAATTAATGTTTTGATGATAACAAATACATTTAGTATTAATTATCTTTGGTGTGTAACAAGAAGTATTGTTATAAAGCATAAATTTATTACAATATTAAATAATATTATAGGATTTATTGATAATACATATTTTGTTTAACAACAGGTTTTGGTGTTTTAAAGTGTGAACAGCGTAGAACTCGTTATAACAATCCCAACGGATCTTGAATCACCCAATTCGGAGCTCAAGTTATGGCCAAAAAGAGTTGAAAATAAAAATACCTTTGATGATGACGTGGCGATTGAATCCAAGTGACATGTGGCAAGTTGAATTGAAAGAAAAGAAAAGAAAAAGAATTAAAAAAAAAAAAGATTTTACCGTTGAAGTAAAAAAATATATCAAATCAACGTTTAATGATACGTGAGATAAAAAAAAAAGTGGATCATGACTGCAGGACATATATATATAATATTATTATCATCATCATCAATTAAATCTCAACCTTTGATCTTTAATCATTTAAGATTCAACGGTCCAAATTTAAATATGATTCCAAAATTCTCTTCAATTTTTCCTCCTCTTTTAAATCTCTCATCCTCTCAAATTTGAACAACAATTTCCTCCCCAATTTTCTCTCAAATCCCTCAATGTTTTTTTTCTCTCCAAAACTTCAATGTTGTTCTAATTTCTTGCGAGAAAAATTTTAATTTGAGAGATCTTGAGCTTGTAACTTTTATTTCTCTAAGCCATTTGTGGGTTTTATTTTGTAAGAAAATTTGTAAGAATTTTTCTTACAAAATTGTGAGTGAAAATTTGTGTATCCACTCTTTTTAGAGAGATTGTCAGTTTGTTCTCCAAATTTTCATACTCTTTGTGAGGGTTGCTCTTGAGCCTGAAAAATAGTATTTGTAACGGTTTGATCCTGAACCGTGGAACGGATTGAGTTTATTCTTGCTCCCGAAAAAGGAACATTTTACCGGTTGGACTCTAAGTCATGGAAAAAGTCGTGTTCTTCAATCAAATACCCAAGAGGAGCTTAGGGAGTTGAGTAGGCAGTTTTGCCAAACCACTATAACTTTCCTGTGTCATTTTCTCTAACTATTTCCTATTTAATTTTTGCAATTAATTTTCTTTATCATAATTTGCATAAAATTAATTGCTATATTTTGTTCTTCATGTTTATGGTGAATCTCTACGTTAGAAGTAGAGTGCTTGAAATGTTATTTCTAATTTATATCTAATTTATGTTAAAATTGTTTGTTCGTAAAAGTTAACTTATTTGTTTAAATTGGGCCCACCATAGTAAAAAGTTTATAAAGTTTCATTAAATCCTATTCATCCCTCAAGGTTGTCATACCGATCAAATAGTTAGGACCGTATGTATGTGGAACTTACTTGAGGGGATGTTTGATATATGGTTGTGTGAATTATTTGTCATTGCTTGTGTGCTTGTTGATTGCTTGTATTCATGTGGTCATTGTTATTATATAAATCTTACTATGACATGATTATTGATGAACTATTGGAAATGCACGTTTGTTGTTTCATAACATGTATTATGAGTTAATAACCGTGTTGGATGTTATCTTGGTTGGCTATCCTAAGTTTGTTTTTGTGTTATGGTGTGATTATGGAACTATCAATAATTGTTCTGGTGCTATAATTTGTTATGTTTAAAGCATGTTAGCTAAGTTGTTTATAGTAAAAGCATGTTGAATTCATTGGGGAGCTCATATGTTTGTTGTGTATTTCCTGCTGGAATCTTGTGTGGAGGCTAATGCATGGGTCATGGTTTAGAAAGGTGTCGTAGGGCTCTGGTGAGAGTTCTGAAATATTTTAAAGTGAATGGGTGAGTATCAAGGCTAGAGGGCTGATACGTCACTAGTTGGGTGTCGAGACTCTGGGTACAAAAAAAGGTCGGGGTCGATACTCCAGTCTTGGTATAGACGAGTTTCAAAGTCACGGGTACAACAGGTCGAGAGTCGGCCATGATGAATCTATTTGGTAGGAAGTATTGGGGCCTTGGAGTGGAAACGATATACGTTGCGAAGTAATCGAGGCCTTGGGTACAAAACATCAGGGGTCGGTACATCTCGAAGGAGTAAGTCTTAGAGTAGGAAAGAGTAGAGAGAGAGTTAGAGAACTCTTGCGAGTTTTCGTGGTGTGAACTTGGGCTTGACATGTAGATTGTATAATTAAGTGCTTTGTGGTAATTGATATCTTGTTTACTGAATTGATTATAATCATGTTGTATTGACGAGTATGATGTATTGTTGTTGTGTAAGCATGTTGTTTGTGTGTGACCTTTCAAGTAAGGGCTGCTTACCGAGCACCATGGTTGTACTCACCCCCTATCTCTCTCTCCAGATTCTACAAGTAACAAAATATCGTGTGAGCAGGGTGATGGGGTGGAGGATACTTGACTGGAAAGACCATTTAGTTGCGTAGTTTAGTTTTCATTTATCGTTTTGGATGGGACAGTTGTATTTGCTTTTGCTTTATGTTGGGTTTATCCTTTGCGTTAGGAGGTTGGTTTGTTAGTTTTTAGTTAAAGGTTGTATAAATTCTTGGAAGTCGTCGATAAATGATTCTCTGTTCATACTAAAAGTCATTATCTTGTTATCGGTTTGGCATATAATAAGTATTTTTTTCTCTTGTATGGCACAACTTTACAGAAGGCTAACTGCTTAGGCTTGGTTGTTTGTTTATGTCGTTTCTATTATGGATTAAGTTCTGGTATCAGAGAAACACAGCGGAAGCGTGGTAGAAATTTATCCTCGTTTTGTGATGCTAGTGGTTTAGTTCTCTAATACGAGTGGAACTTTTTTTGTGGTTGTAGTAACTGTCCCCGTTTGGGACGTTGAAAATCCTTGGGCGTTACAGGTGATGCTTATGGTAGAATAGAAACTTTAAAGTATGAGCTCTCTTATTGTTTTGCTATGAAAGATTTTGACATGTTGTGCTTCTTTCTTGGTATTGAGGTCGTTTATTCTCCGAAAGGTTATCTCTTATCTCAGTCAAAGTGTATAGCTGATTTGTTTGATCGTGCGCGTCTCACTAACAACAAGATTGTTGATACTCCTCTTGAGCCTGATGCCTGATATTCTCCATTAGATGGTCTTCCTTTGTCAATTCCAATTTATATCGTACTACATTACAATGTTGTCCATGTACTTAGTCAATTTGTCACCACTTCCATGTCTTCTTTAGACTTGCATCCTTACTCTAGTGTTGATTGAGTTGGTGATCCTACTAATTACAAGTCAATCACTAGATTCTGTATTTTCCTTTGTGATTCACTTATTTCGTGGAAGAGTAAGAAATAAGATGTTATTTCTCGGTCTTCTACAAAAATCGAGTATCATGTTATGGCTTCAACTACTTGTGAAATTTTTTGGTTACGTTAGTTGCACATAGGTGTTTATCTTCGTCATCCTACTTCCATTATATTGTGACAATCAAAGTGCCATTCAGATTTCGCAATCCGGTCTTTTATGAGCAAACCAAGCATTTTTAAATTGATTGTCATGTCACTCGTCATCATCTTCAACATGACTCTATCACATTGCCTTTTTTTTTTTACATCTCTACAAATTGTTGATATGTTTACTAACACACTCTACTTCGTACTTTCGTTTTTTATAACTCTCAATGCTTACCGTTTTAGCATCATAAGTTTGTGGGGATGTTAGGATAAATATTATTATCATCATTATTATTAGTCTTTGAAACTAAATTAATTTTTTCTTATTATTTAGAGTTAGCGACCTCTATAAACATCATATTGTGTATTCAATTATTAATCATCTTAATGTTAACAAAGCAATCCCGAGTTTTCTCTCGATCTTTTCAGATTATATGTTGGGAAGAAATGAATGTGGTAATACTCAAATGTTTTATAACTAAAATGAAGTGAGACATTTTGTTCATATTCTTTAGCCTCAAAACTTGACCTTTTGCATCATAAGAAGCTAAAAGGATTCTCTCTGTTATGTTAATAAAAAAATATAACCTTTTCTTTTTTGTGCGGAACATCAAAACCAATGAATTTAATCGTACTACTGTCTACTGGAGTTGTTACTCATTTTTTACTTGTTTTATTTTCTAATTGCGATAGATGTTCGATCCCGAAGGGAAGGAATGGATCTTCATAAAATGGATTTTTCACATATTTATAAATTCGACCCATCGTCATGAATGGTGAATCAACATTTTCAAATATCACACAAAAATTGACAAAATATAAAATGTTTCAACAAAATATCACTAATATGAAAAATATTAATATTAACAAATTTTAACTTATTTAAAAAAGGAGAAATTTTTATCTGTTATCAATTCTTTTATAATTTTCCAGAAACATCTATAAACATCGACGTTTTCATAAAATTGAGACTTCGAGCGTTTACATCGACATCGACATTTGAACTTTGGTTCTAAAATATCCAAAAATAAAAAAAAAATGAAATAGAAATCTAACCCAAAAATGGTCAAATGATTAACGTCATCCATAGTTATGTGTAATTAGTCTATAAACTTTTAATTTTAACTCTAATAAGTCATTATTGTTAAAATTGTTATTATAGATTACTATTGAATTTGTAAAGACTCCTACTTTTAGTGTGATCGTACATTTTGTTAATTGTTGGACTCAACAATTAGCGATAACGATATCTATATTATGAGAGGTGAAGATCTATTAGTAACTAATAGATATTGTTATTGCTATGAGAAGTGGGTGGATGTCACCTTGTTGAAAGCATTTCATGGGAAGCTTCCATCATACTTCAAAATTGAGTGAATATCTCTAGCGAAAATAGTTGAGATGCGAACAATCTGACCGAGATAAAATGAAGAATTAGAAGCTTCTAGCAAATATAAGGATGTGGGCTCTGCTGACAAGGAAAAGGAAAAATGGGCTACATACAGAGCTGTATACTACCATAAAATATGCAAGTTTTATTAGATCTGCGATCTGAATATATACATTTTGGATAATTGATTTTTGAAAATGGTTATATTACGTTCTCTTTTAGTTTGCTATTTCTAGAAAGCCCTCTTTTTCTTATTTACAATAATTGAAGCTTTTTCTCTACTGTGAATAGTTACTTCGGTAGGTATTTTTTAATAGATAGTAAAAATATTTGCCATATCATTTTTTTTTATATCCGTCCGTAAAATATCGCAACAACTTTCAAAATCTTTTTTTTTCTTGTTATTTCAATTTTATCATGTCATTGATACGTTTCATATATATTTGATATAAATGATATACGTAATATGAAGTATATTATTCATATAATATATGAATGATATATTTCATTATACGTCATATTATATATTATCACTATTAAATCATGTTGAAGATTTTGATTTAAGTAACGTTGAGTGATAAATCTACTTCGAAATTAAAGATTGACATTTTTATTGATATGTCAAAGTATATTAGTTATACAATTTATTAAATATATTTATTAATGTATCTAATATAAATTATACCACTAAATATGATATTCTTCTTATTAGAGAATATCACTGAAAAATCTTCTTCATGTTGAAAATTTTAAATATATCAAGTATATCAATATATCAGTAATATGTAGAGGAGTATAATCAACTTTTCCATTTTTTTTTTTTTAATTTGAATCCGACTTCATTTTTTTGCTATATTTTGCAAAAGTTCATTTGCTATATCTGCAAATCAACTCTATTTCAATTCAACAATAATCTTAATTTTTACCAAACAATCGATTACAGTTAAAAATGGAAGAAAACAGTTTTCCTAATAAGGCCTAAAAGATTATCTCTATGTACATGCACACAAGTAAACAAGACAAATTTATCTTTCACAATCTGAAGATCAAAAGCCAAAGACTCTCTTTTTTTTTTCTCTTTTTTCATTATAACTTTTTTGGATCATATTTCAATTTTTGTTGGGTTATCATGTCATCCCCCTAATACAAAATCCCATTTAGAATGGGACCTTCCTTCCATTTATAAATAACAATTTTTTTTACATTACATTTTATACACAAAAAGGAGAGCAACTTTTAAAATTTGTAAACAGAACTCATCACTTTTGCAGCTCTGCCTAACCAACCCCTCAAAAGTGGACTTCTTTAAGCACCAAATCCAAAACCAAAACCCCACTAACCTCAGAATTCAAGCAGAGGCAGGATGAGATTGAGATGCCCTCTTCCTCTTCCTCTTCCTCTTCTCTTCTCTTCTCTTCTCTTCTTTCCAATTCATTCAATTCAGCATTCCCCAAAAAAAAAAAAAAAAAAAGAATTAAAGGGTCAGTTCAGTTTCCTCCTCATTCTGAATCAGTCTCCATGCTTCCTCCCATGGCTTTCAATCCTCTTGGCCTCTGCAAAATTCAAAACCCACAAAAGAAAAAGGAAAAAAGCATCTTCAACTTCAACCCCACAGTCCTTTTACCAGAAGAATGACAACAATTTCACAGAATGGAACAAGTTCTGTTACCTTCTTTATACTCTTCTTTTCCCTCACTTCATATCTCTCTTGGCTCATTTCGCTCAGCCATGCCCCAGGGCTCACCAGCTGACGACCATGAACACAATCAACACAAAAATCCACACCCACAGACAGAAGAAAGAGAGAGAGAGATTGTGGTGTTGCTTACGAGTAAGCTTCTCTGGATCATCTTGGCCCTCTTTTTGGGCCTTTGTGGGAGCTTACAGCCCTTCATGGCCATGAAGTCTTCCTCCTTTTCTTTGCTTGACAGAGCGATGAACAGCTTTGGCCAAACAAAGCCTCTGTCTTCCGCCTTGGTGGTGTTGCCGTTGGTTGAGATCTTCCCGTTCTCATCCACCGCCACGGCGGATCCTCGGGTGGCGTAGTAACGGTCCTCCTTCTCCGGCGAAGGCGGTTTCCGGATCTCGGCTGTGCCTGCACCGTTACGCAGCGTAACGCCCTCAGAACTCCTGTCACCAAACAGATCCACAACACAGAAAATTGTTTTACCTCATATTTCTGGGAAAACACCTCTTCATGTCCTCTTTCGTAAGCTGGGGAGGAGAAGACCCAAGAACACAACACAAATACATGAACCCCAAATGCCCGTAAAAGCACAAAGTAATCAATATCCAGTGCAGAAAATTAACAGAAAAAAACAAACAATTAGGGGGAAAGAAAAATCATTCTCGTTCTTTCATCTGCTTTCTCGGGAATCAAGCAGAGGGGAAAAGAGTGTGTGGAGCAGGAAATAGGCGAGGCTTCCTCACCTAGTGAGACGATTTGGTTGGAGTGGGGTCCTTTCTCTCTCGGAAGCTGTAACCACACAGCGATCGGCTCGAGATGCGATTTTCTTCCGTAGGCCGCCGCACAAACGCTCAGAGATCTCCGGGTCTTTGATTCTAGCACATCTCAGTCGCCTCCTCTTTCCCCACTGTAAGAAAACCTCCGGTTCCAAAGGTTTACACCCTCTCTGATTCCTCACCTCTGTCTCCATATCTGCTAAGGGGAAAACAATAAGAAATTCGTAAATCTATTTGAAATTCCCAATTCAGACAGCAGCGGAAACAGAAAGAACCGGATAATGTTATAAAACAAACAGGCTAATCAGTATTTTTCCAGAAGTCTCCCTTCTCAAGTTCTCAGAGAAGTCCAGAGAAAGGAAAAACGCATATGAGATTACAGAAGTCGAAGAAACGATCTATAATCACAAGATCTGCGCAAAACACACCCTCCCCCAATCGAAGACTGTAATCGATGGTAATCAAAATAGTTGGAGAAACAGATTCGTGCGGCAATCAGGACGCATGGGAGCAGTGGACGAAGATGAAGAAGAGATAACAAGAAGTTCAAGAAAACTTACAATGAGAACAGCAAGATTCTCGTCAAGAATACAAGACGGCCAGTCCGATGAAACAAAACCAGATCTCCAATGGAAATTGCGGCTCCGATCCTCTCAATCAATTTCGAGCCTCTACGACCTGAAATTGTTCGGATAATCGAAGTTCAGGCCTGGAATTTTCCGCATTACAAGAGAAAGGCTGTGGTTGAGTAAGTTTCCAGCTCCAGAGCAGAGCTTATAGAAGTCTGAGCTATGGCGGTCGTCGTGTTCTTCGAGTTTCTCTCTCTCTCTCTCTCTCTCTCTCTCTCTCTCTCTCTCTCTCTCTCTCTCTCTCTCTCTCTCTCTCTACAATGTCTTCCTTCGTCTTCAATCTCGTTTCATCGCCTCGGCCTCGCCAGTGAAGATAAAAAGGTAAGCAAAACAAAAATTAAATTCCCATTCTGTCCCATTAGAAGTGCCTTCATGGGCTCGATGGGCCCACATTGTTCTTGTTTTGGGCCGCCTCGGTGAGAGCCAAGCTTAGGCCCATTGTAATTATCTGGCCTTCGTCCTTTTCTTACCTCAATTCCATTGTAATTTGCCTAAAATATTACAAAAATATCACCTAAAAGATAATAATGATGTATCCAAATAAAAATACATGTATATCAACGTTAATCAATCTAAAAGTTAAATAGTGATGTAGTAAATAATAGGTAATTAATATATAGGTTATTTATTAATATACCGAGATTAGAATTGATGGGTACACCGACTCGACCTCAAATGTCCTATTACTAGATCAATAGCCAAAAAGATCTAAGAGAGAATGAATAGGAGCAAGGAGTATCCAAGACATAGTTAAGGATCAATTGTGAGGAATGACGTGAAGAAGGAAGGCAATTTTAGGTCATTCGAATAGACGTTAGTCTCACTTCCAAGTGTTTTTTATAACGCCCACAACCTCTGCAACAATTCAAGCCTACATGTACCCCAATATGCCCATGATAATCTTATTTTTTGTGTTCTTTTAAATTTTTTTATTTAGTGCAACAACATGTTGCGGTGGGAATTCGAACTCGCTCAAGTTGACATATTATTAAATACTTTTTGATCCTTAGGGTTATTTTTTAGACATTTTTGGACAAAATCTTCATGAGTTTGTTTTATGTAGAATAAGTTATATTTTATTCCCCTAAGGCCTTAATTTCAAGGTAATGGGAATCAAGGAGCAGGAATGAAAATTTTATAAGAAGAGAGATGACAATTGATCCTTTTGAAGAAGAACTTGACAATGAAAAATTGGTAACTGAAGTTGTAGATGACACGACTAACTACATTAGTAACGATCGATCAGAACGAACGGAATATGTGGAGATAAACTTTTGCAACTCGAATGTTCAATAGTTGTCAAAAAAAAGTTTAGAATGATATCATTATGTATCTCATTTGTTATTTGTAATTAGTTTATTGATTATTTGAAATGTATATTTTTTTCTCCTTTAATTGTTTCAAGAGAGACTTCAGGGATAGAGTAATTATATCTATTTTGTGTGTTTAAATACTTTGTGATGTAATAGTTTAAACTATATATTGTATGATTAATTATTTTTAAAAAAATTTTAGATGGTTAGGATTATTTTGAACTTTTATTTTTATGTTTACTTGATTGGTAGAAATAGTTCATATAATATTTGAATGACTCATCTTATCCATGTTTTATTGATGGAAAGTGAAAAAAAGGATGTGGTTGAATAAAGATTAGTTTTGTTGTGGATATAACTTATATGTTTAGAATTATTTATGTCAACCTAGCAGATTATGGTAATTTAAGACTCGTTTGGTAACGTTCCTGTTTCTTGTTTCTCGTTTCTAATTTTCTTAAAAAATTTAAGCATTTTACAACTAATTTTGTTTCTTGTTTCTCCTCTTTTGGGAACATTCTCACAATTGTATAGAAATTTTGGGAACAACTAAAACAAGTTTTCCCTTCTCATTTCCAATTTGTTCTAAAATATAAATAAAAATATTATTTTATCATAGTTGAATTCTTTGAGGTTGAAACCATGTAATACATTTTTCTTCGTTAAAAATAAAGAAACAGAAACAAGAAACAGGAACGTTACCAAATGAGCCCTTAATTTATGAAACATTCTATCCATTTTTTAAGTTTCTAATTATTTAATTTCATATTTCAAAGAAAATTATTTAATTTTAAATTGAATGGGTAAGATAAATTTTATTATAAATAAATAATGTAATAATAATATCAAATAAAGTGTAAAGATTTTTTAAAATTCAATATAAAAATAAAATTTATTACTATTAAATAAAACGAGAGTAGAACTAAAATTATTTTAAGCAATATAATGCAGTTTCAAATTAACTACGAGGGTAAGTAAACACAGTAATAGCATTCTCAATCCGAATGATTTCATTTACGGTTCATTGTCATTCTCATCTAAATGTTTTGAGAATTACTCACAACCTCTTCATTAAAGACATATATCAATTATCTGAGCTATCCGGCGTAGTGATATAAAAAATGGCAATTAATGAATGTCTTGGTTAATTATTGATTAATTTTATTAAAGTTAGTCGTTTTTTTGTTTTTTTGTTTTATTTTTGAAAGCATTAAAGTTAGTCGTTTATTTATCTGTTTTCTACAAATTCTATAATTTGAATTATTCTTTTTAAAATGACATTTATGATTACTTTTAGCAAAGTAATCACATAATTGCAAATAACTTTTTTTTTAATTTGCCCAATAAAAATTCTCAATAAGCAGTCATATTTCGAATTCCTTTTACCTATATAGCTAAAGCATATGAGATTGAATAAAAATAGCAAAATTAAATATGTGAAATTGAAAAAGTTAAAAATTTTGGATATTGCAAAAATAGCTATTTTCGAAATCAATCAAAGCTTAGGGAAAAAAATTATGCCCAAAGCCGCATAATTTATATTTTATGATATATACTTACAATAATAATAATTTGTGTTTTTTATTGAGAAATATATATCTATTTTATGAAAATTCAACAGTATATAATTAGCATATGAGATGATATTATGCATGATATTCCTAGTATTTTTATGTAAAATTTAACTATACATATATTTTTTTTAGTACCATAGGTAAAAAAGAAAACATGTTAAAAAGTGAAGTAGAGATGCAAGACTTAGAGAGGTTCTATAGACACAAGTTAATTAGATCGACTTAAGAATGGAGATTGATATTCCAAGCCTCAAAGGAGGAAAGTGCACCAACTTGAGCATCAAGAGATGAGTAGCCCACCCAAGAAGAGGTAGATCATCCAAGGACAAGATGATTAAAATGGAGAGGTCTCCAAAGAAGAAGAAAGTAGAGCCAAAGAAAGTAAACAAATACATATTGTTTCATCGGAATTAAAGAGAGAATGAGAAGGCTGAGACATCAGAAGAGAGTGAGAAAGACGAATTTGAGTGTTCAAATAGTGAAAAGGAAGGAGAGATCAAGAGAGTGCATCCGATTTTTGAGCGTTTGTAATGATAGAATTATCTTCTCAAAACAATTCACCTTTGAACACGAGAACTAGTTATTTGTTACTTAATCTTAGTGTAGCTAGTGGTTATATTGATTGTTAAATTGCTGTGGGAGATTAAAGTACTCAAGAAGGAGCAATGACACCCATATGTGATGTGTAGAGCAAAGCCGCTATTTGAAAAATATTGCTCCAACTTGTTGATGAATCCATCCATGACCAAAAGTTCAAAGTTCAGAAGGGATCTAAAGAGAGCTGGATCGTTGGCATCTCATGATTACATATGTACTCTCCAAGGTGACATTATATCCGAGGACGAATGCTTCAAAAGTGAGAGAGAATGATACTTCAATCTTTTGTTTAGGGTGACTCTAATTAGACTTTCGTTAGGTTAATTTGCTTTCCTTTTATCTGTATCATAGTCGCCACTATTAGGGTTAATTGAGACATAAAATTGTTGATTTTAAGGCTAAGCCTAGGTTATTTCGAATAACATTGCAGTGTTTTCCACACTTGAGAGCCAAGAGCCCCAAACCTTTTCCATTCTTGATTTAGGGTTACATGCTTAAACATGAAGTTTAATCAGCTTGGTTGGACAGTGTTCAAACCTTGAGTAAAAAACTGATTCTTCTTATCTCATGGTCTTTTATAAAAGTAACTCATTATCTAACTCTTCATTTGGGTTGATTCTAAATTGATTTGGGATTCTCCTTACATGAAAGAGTTCCCTAAGGTTTCATATCATTTGGTATCATATCTCAGAACCTAGACTCTTGATTGAGTAAATTTGCTGTCTTTGATTTCTATGTGACTGTTGTATTTTTTTTGTTGGGTCTAGATCAGTTTTTTAACGAAATTTGTTACCATTGAATCAAATCATTTCTTTCAAAATAGCCGAGAGCACTTGAAATCTTTTATAATTCTTGATCTAGGTTGCAAGCTAGAACATTGAAGTTGGGTTTGATCAGCCCTCATGGAATTGTTCAATCTTGAGTAGAAAACTAATGGTCCTTACCTATTCGCATTCAATCAACAAAATAATCTTATTCTACCTCTTCCTTGGGTTGTGCTAAATTAAGTTAGGAGTTTTAGGATGCGTTTGGGAGTAACGGTAGAATTAGTGATTTTGAAAAAAGAGATTTAAGTATAATTGATTTTCCAAAATCACCATCCAAGTGATACCTTAAAAATCAATTAAAAGTAATTTTAAACTTTCTTAAAATCAATTTTTTAATTTGCCAAACATGATGGGAAGTGATTTTAACCATACCAAAATCGACTCCCAAACACACCAGTGTTCACGTATCTATATCTAAAGAGTTGATAATTTCATTTTACTAAAATTTTCATATTACTAACCCTCCTAATATTCCAAGACACAACTATCATTGCATCATTATAAAAGTCTTAGCTTCCAAAGAAGTATACTTCCCATGAACTCCCAACATTCCTCATCAACCAACTTCTAGATGCTCCCTCTCTAAGGCAAGGCTTTTAATTTGGAGGCTAAGGCTAGCCAAAAGGGAAGGCAAAACATTCAAGTCACTAATAAGAAAGGAAATAATCACCCTTTAATAAGCTTATAATTGAAGGATTGGGAAACCCGTTGACCGAAATATAGGCCTCAACAACCAATCAAAATAAATCCCTCCTATTCAACCGACTTCAACCATTTTCGAATACCTCGTAGCATTTTTAGGGCTCATCCAAACCCGAACATCACTATCCAAGAGAAGGAAAAAAACCCCTACCATAGGATTTAAATCACAGTTTTAGGCACGATTTATCTAAAATGTGTTTGCTACCCACAATTTATCACACCACTACTGCCGAAACTACCCTATTTTTGCTATTTAACTACATTATTTTATTTGTAAAAAAAAAATCCCATAACCTTGACCAATAAAGATCAGTACTGTCCTAGGTTGATTCTCCACGGCAGTAGTTAACTGAAGTAAAAATATTACCTGAAGTTTGAAACATTGCTATTAGATATTGCATAGTAAGGAAAATCAATTTCTTTCCTAGAAATACACTAGAAGAGAAATTGCATTTCCTTGCATATCTGCAGTTCTAAAACTGAAGTAAACTCTTTTTGTTTCCCGTTTCTCATTTTTAAAAATGTTTCCAAAATCAACACAATCAAGTTTCTTATTTTTGGTTTCCGTTTCCAGTTTTTTCCAAAAATATAAATAAAAACATCATTTTATAATTCTTGACTTACAAAATGTAGCATAAAAATTAATAAATAAATAAATATTAAGTTTCATATAAAATTTTTACTCTTTAATTTAAAATTTTAGAGAACGAAAAACAAGAAATAGTTAGCACACGTGTTTCTATTTCCTTTTTCAATAAAATAACAAAAAAAAATAATAATAATAAGAAACCATTATCAAACGCAGTTCTATTTTAATTTATTAAAAAAGATGAAACAAGAAACAAGAAACAGGAGTAACTTGTTTTGTAATTACTCCTTAAATGATTTATGTGCTAATTGGAGGGACTTTTTTAAATCTCATTAGCTTCTGTGGAGGCCTTCCTGCCTTTTTTTGTACATGTTATCACATTAATGGAATCCTGTTTCTTCCAAGTAATACTAACAAAAGAGTAAAATTTCAATGTCAATAAATAGCATGATTGGAGATAAATATCTCTCATCTCCCACACTATATATAAAGTCAGTTCCTACGGCAATCCAATTCTAATGCTTATTCTATAAACAGAGTTACCTGTGGATTGTAAGATGAAGAATTGTTGCTATTTACTACTAAAGACATAGGTTAGGCATTGGGCACAATGAATGCTAAAGTAAAAACTTGTCCAATACGTGATGGCTCCGTTCACAGCAAAATTTCATGTAAAGGAGAAATAACTTAGTGAGGGAATTGAAAGGGACGTACTATAGCCGTTCTTCTATATTGATATTATCTATGTGTATCCATTAGGCCTTTCTCCGCTCTTTGCTGATCTCTTCTGCAAGTCAGCGTCATGATGCTGAAATGCAGCATCCAGAGCCTATAAACATACATCACATACATACATATGGTCATTTTTCCATCCAGCATGCTAACAACCATAGATGAAAAAATAAGGGAAAACTGTAAAGACCATCCCTAATATTATAATTCGAAGGTTGTTATGAATAATCACATCCTCAAACTTTTAGAGCAATTGTCCTCCAAAAGTTACAAAATAATTGCAATTAAACCCCTACCATTTAACTCATTTTGCATTAATTTTATAAGTTTGAAGGAATCATTGCAACAACTTCATAGTTTAAAGATGGTTTGGGGTTTATGATATGAGGTTTTAATTGGAATAACTCTTATAGTTCAAACGTGATTGGTGCATTTTCCAAGTTGTAACTTACAAAGTTGTAATAGAAAGGTTTGAGTGCATCGATATCATAAGTTTGGGGCGATTGGTAAAATTGAAAGTTTGAAGTTGTTAGGGTAATAACCTCTGTAATACATGGATGGTTTTTTCAAATTTCCCTAAAAGGAAAGTGTAAATTTCAAAGAGTGTCTAACTACAAACCTGATGCATCGGACGAACCAAAAGAGATACCTGGTGACGAAAATCTGCCTGCACGGTTTCCTTAATCTCCTGTTTTCAATATAAGTAGTATGAAAAAACTATAATAATTCAAACTAATTTAGATATAGTTGTTTGGACGACAATAAGCAAGAGAGTGGCAAACTCTAAAAACTGGAACGAAATTTTCTGAGATAATTTGTGTCAAACCAGCGACAGAAGAATAATATAAAACGTAACATAATGAGGCCAATGACATTTTGGATCCCAATTTTAATCGGTCATTGAGTAATCTTTTCTGGAAAAAACAATTGAGTAATCTTTTCTGGAAAATACAATTGAGTTCAGAGATCTATTCGAGGAAGAAAAGTACATTCAAACTAAGAAACTTGATTATCACCATCTTGTTTATGGGAATAATTTGCTGCCTACCTACCTTATTTTCAGATCTTTTTTGTAGAAAATATATAAATTTGAAAAGAACTCAATCATGAAGAAGAAAACAGATATTTCACAAATGTTTCTAATAAGTTACGACATAAAGCTCGTGGCAACTAATTGAAATGGTCTTCAAACACATTCTAAGGAGGCAAAAAAATATATACACTTGGCAATCATTTTCATCATGCCACATTACTCAATCCTCTGTTCAAAAATCAAAATGTGGAGGGCAATAGGGGCACTCTTTTACCTCTAACTGTCGATAGATTTTTGACATGGCATCCTTCAGTCTGCTCACCTGCATGTCAATTGACACACCAACAAGCAATCAGAGGGTTGGCCATCCAAGCTAATGTGCAATGTATATTTAGTAAAGTCATTCAGTACAGATTTACATTCAAAATTGCATTGACTTTTATTATGCCTCCTTTTGAGCCAGGATCCTTTTTCTAGTCGAAACTTGTCCGAGAAAGAGAGAAAGGGTAATGAGGAAAAGTTATATAGATGATCGGACTAACTTTGGGGAGTTTTTCCTTCTTTAAACTGTTCTTGTTCTTCCTCTTTAACAGTTGCTCCACTTGACTTTTTAGACATTATTGAAGATCTTTCTCTACTTTTCAACATTTCAGATATTTGATTGTTCGATAAGTGGTGTGGTATCTCTTTAGCAGGCGGTTTTTATGGGAAGAGCAAGTCTTGAAAAAAAAGTTTTTCAGACGTTTGCTCAAACAGATTTTTGTTATTGCAATGGCAAAAGATCTATTGGTGTCACTTTTGCAGATTGAAGGATGTGATTTTGGTTATTTGGCTCGTCAGTTTATCAAGATTTTAATCGTTTTGCTCTTCAATGTTTCTATCCTCAATTTCTGGAGCTTTGTTCTTTGTTGGTTATTTATTTTATTTTCTCTTTTTTCACTTCCGTTGGAAGTTTTTATCTTTGAACAATTTTCTTCCTTTTCGTATTATCAATAAAGCTTGTTTCTCATTAAAAAAACAAAATTGATCATTTGAAAATGATGAAAATGTGAAGTATTATTTAAATAGAACCAATGATCTCGGTGGTGGTTAGTGAGACCTTAGAAAAGATTATAAGGGACTTCCTTTGGGAAAGGTGTGAAAGAGGGGGGTGGCGCTCATCTGGTTAGTTGGAAAGAGATTACTAAGCCTCTGGAATTGGGGGGTTTGGGCATTGGGAGCTTAAGGCTTAGGAACGAGGCTTTTCTGGCTAAATGGTTGTGGCATTTCTTCCATGACTCTAGCACCTTGTGGTGAAGGATTATAGTGAGCAAGTATGGGCCGCATCCATTTGATCGAGTACCGGCAGGTGGGTCTAAGGTGAGTAATTATAACCTTTGGAAGGCTATTGCTCTGGGTTTCCCCGCGTTCTCTCAATCTTTACGTTCTGTGGTGGGGGAGGGTCGTAACATTTATTTCTGGGAGGATACTTGGGGAGGAGATAAACCTCTTTGCATTGCGTTCCCTCGGCTCTACTTTCTCTCTTGAAAAGAGGCTTCATTCAATGTCCAATGTCTCGAATCTTAGGGGGGAGGTTCCTTCCATTTCTTTGGGCTTTACTCAAGCTTTGGTAGATCGGGAAACCTTAGAGGTGTCCGATCTTCTTGTTTTGGTGTCTGAGGTGTCCCTAGTCTCTAGGAGGGAGGATGTGAGAGTTTGGACCCCCAACCCTTCGAAAGGTTTTTCTTGTAGCTCTTATTACCATATCTTGGGCTCATTGTCTTCTTCTCACTCTTCGACCCTTTGGTTCACCTCTCTTTGGAAGATTAAAATCCCGAAGAAGATCAAGTTCTTTGGGTGGCAAATTTTACTTGGGACAGTCAATACCTTGGATCGTATCCAGAGGGTTTCCTCCTTCTGTCTGGGTCCGGAATGGTGCGTTCTCTGTAAGAGTGACTCAGAAGACCTCGATCACTTGTTGTGGACTTGCCAGTTTGTACAAGATTTATGGCACCGTTTCTTTATGCGTTTTGGATTGTCTTGGGTCTATGCTAGGGATTGTAGGGCTATGATGGAGGAGGTGCTTTTATTCCCCCTTTCATGACAGGGGTCGTTTTTTATGGCAGGCTTGTTTTTTGGCTACCTTATGGGGTATTTGGTTGGAAAGGAATAGACTGTTTAGGGGGGTGAAGAAGTGTGTAGATTATGTTTGGGATATCATTAGATTTAATACTTCGTTATGGGGCTCCATTTCTAAATCATTTTATAATTATCCGCTAGACCTTATTCTTTTGGATTGGAGTCCTTTTCTTTAGGGGGCTTCCTCCTTCAGGGCTGGTTTTTTTGTAGGCCCTTGTTGTCCTTCTTGTACCTATTTTCATTTCTCTCAATGAAAGTGTTGTTTCATATAAAAAATAGATAAATAAATAAATAAAAAATAGAACCAATGATTTCAAAATAAAATTGAATGGATAAATGCAGTGTTAAATTAAAGATTGTCCTAAAGCAGTAAGGGGACTTACTTTAGTATAAAGATATGATGTGGTAATTGGATAAGATGACCAAAAGTGCCTCAGTAATTCTTGAATCGAGATCCAATGCTGGAAACAATAAGCTTTGCTTACAACAATACCTCACTAAAAAATGCACTAACTTATGAAACTAAAAAGTAACTAGAGAACACAAACATACGGCAGAAATCCAATTTCAAAGTAATAAATTATATTTCTATGGTCAAAAAATCTTCCTAAGTTGGTAAATTGGACGGAGTTTAACTTTCCCAAAAACTAGCCATCAAAGTATCTCTGAATATTAAGGTAAGAGCAACACCAACTCACATGAAGAAGTTCGTCCTTTGCAGGGTTTGGTAAACTCTCCAGAATACTCTCCTGAGGGCTTTTCCCTAGTTGATATTTCGTACTAGAAATATTTTGAGTCAATCCATTATAAACCTTAAAAAAAATGGAAGTTAATTAGCAGAAGTAGAGTTGTCCATGTAGATAGGAGAAAAGGCGTGTTTTTGGTAAGAGACTGCCACCGGTGCTCTTACCATAAGTGCAACTTCAGGTTTAATTATGGGATGATTCAATCCAGAAGATTTGATCTCAGATATGAATTCCCTTAGTGAGCAGTATGCTTCTGCAGTGCTCAAACTGCATTTAGTTTGTTGCATTCCAGCTCGCGTGTCGTCCAATGTTTTAATGGCATTTGCTTGTTGAGCATCAAAATAATCTCGAGGATCCTAGTATGGCAGTATGGCATCAAATATTCTTCTGCGAAAATAAATGTAGACCTAGGCATCTTTCACAATAAAAATCCAACCTTGATACAAAGAGGAGCAAAAGGATGGCTATGAGGTGCTTGAAGATCCTCAATTGCAGTCATCCTAGAGATCCTATCAAGTGCCGTCTGCTTCTCATTTCCTTCTACCTCTGCAAAATGACTTACCAATACTTAATTTCTTAATGCATGACAGAGTTAAAGTTAAGAACAAGCTCCGGGTGCAAGTGGTGGTAGAAAAGTAATTGGGAAATTTTTCTTTACAAGCCATACTAACCATGCCTAGAACGCACGAGTGCCTCTGCCACTGTCCTTGGATCTTCCAAGTCTACGTCTACTCTCAAGTTTGTAAAGCAACAATTCAGAAAATTAAACAATTGAGTTTCCTATTATAAAAAATATTGAATATTGTACAAACACACACACACAAAAAAAAAAAGGAGTGCAAAGCAAAAGACATCCTAAAAAAAGCCCTTCCTATTTGTTTAGAATAATGGAAGAACATGTCCAAAAAAAATTCTAAGGTAGCAGCCCGACAAGAAACACAGTGTCTTACAAAGAGCTAAAAAAACCTTCCTATTTGTTAACCATGAGTTAAAAAATCACACCTCCCTGATCTCCATTTCTAGTTTCAAAAATCATACGATCTTTTCCTCTCCAACATGTCTAACGAGCTACTAAAGTGATTAAGTACAAAGAGTTTAAGCAAACAGTTACTTTTGATTCTTTCTATCTTCCTCAAACTCTCAAAATTATTTTCAGAAATCAAGTAAAATTACCCATCAAAATTTTGTGAAGTGATAATCACCTTTAAACCGAAAAGTTTAATTTAATTGGCTATGGTATATATATTTAATCTTTTATATATATTCTTAAAACTTCTTCTCATGTGTGGATTCGTATATTATTTTGATTCATCATGCTCAACATTTCTTTTGGATGAAAAATAAAACTTTCAAACTCTCATTAAGAAAAATAAAAAGAACACATAAGGGCGCAAAAAAAACAAAAAAAAAAAAAAAAATAGCCCAACAAAAGAAGTCAAACCAATACCTAAACAAAAAAGCACAACTGAATTAAGATCAATTGAAGAGGAAATGAAACATTGTAAGGATTCAAACAAAGAACCTCCTACTCTAAAACCTTGTTAAACTACCATTAAACTCAAAGATTAAGCCAATAAGTTATACTATATTTAATCCAACTATATATTCTTGACAAGATAATCTATAAATTTGCAACATTTTAACTGATAACTACAATGGAAGAATATAATTTACTGCAAGAAGAAAACTAACCTATGGTTCTTCCTTCAAGAACAACTGCACCTTGACGATTAAGGTCTTGTGACAGAGTCCTTCTATATTGTTCATTATGTGATTCAGTTATTTCCTTGCCACCATCACGAAAGATTCCATGATCCTTGATATTAGAAAATCTTGTGTCAGCCAAATTAGATAATAAAGCCACTAACCATTTAAAACAAGTTAAACAAAACAATAGTTCTATTTTCTTTAAGATTGGATAACACATTATCCAAAATTTAGACATACTGGAAGATGCGTGTAATCGTCCCCTAGATCAGCCTCCAAATCCAATGTTGGATCAACGTGCCGAATCTAGAAATAAAATGAACCAAATAAAGAGAATTTAATAAAAATAGTAATCAGAAAAACACCACTCAAATATTATATAAGAAAAACTATACTCTACGTTGAAAACGAAACTCTACTTTTTTATAATAAAGGAGCCGTTTGATAACCATTTCATTTCTATTTTTTGTTTTTCGTTTTTGAAAAACATGCTTGTTTGATAATCAATTCAATTTTCTGCTTTCTATATTTTTTTTTTTTTAGTGAAAGAAACAATTTCATTGATGTATGAAATTACAAAAGCCTCAAAAGAGGGATTACATGAAGCACTTCCAATTGGCTAAAAGGGAAGTGTAGCTATAGTGATGAAACATACGGGAGGATTTACACCAAGTAATGACCGTAAAGACTATAGCTTCAAAAAATCTATCAAAGGGGAGAGTCTTGTCGTTGAAGATGCGTTGGTTTCTCTCTCTCCAAGTAATCCAAAAGAATGCTCGCATAAAATTCTGCCAGAGTAATGCTTTCTCCTTTCTAAAAGGATGTCCTGTTAGTGTAGCTTCAAGAAGAAGAGGGGATCCGTCGGCAGGACAGTGGACCATCCAAAAGCATAAAGGATGTGGTTCCAAAAATTAGAAGCAAAATGGCATGAAACACATCACACACCAATGGGGAGAGAGAGCCATGTAAGGCATTCTTCTTTGTAGTTTATCACCGGTGTTTCTGTTTTCTATTTTTTAAAAACGTTTTTTTTAATTCTAGGTAAATTTCAAAAAAAAAAAAATTAAGAACATACTATTGTTCAAAATAATTTTCTTATGCTCAACTTTTTTTTTCTTTGACATACTTCTCTCTAAAAATCTTAATGAATTTTTTCCTGCCTAAATTTCCCCCTCTAAAATTTTCATCTCTAAAATATTTACTATTATTTCCCCCTCCAAAATTTTCATCTCTATATCTTTTATTTATTTTTTTTTTGTTATAACATATCACTCTCATTTTTCTCTCCCTAAAAATTTAAAATTTTCCCCTCAAATTTTGACTTTTATAACTTTTCTCCTTTCTAATCCATTTTTTCTCTAGTTAATATATCTCCATATTTTCATCTCTATACTTTTATTTTTGTATCTCTTTTTGTATCTCTGCATTAGGGATGACAAAAATCTCCAGCGGAGTCAGTACCCACTCCAAGAACAAGGAATCATTTCCCTCCATGTCTTGACCCTGTCCTTGATTCTTTAAAAAGTTTCATTTTATCTCTCTAAACTTTTATTTCTTGTCTCCATAATAGAGATGATAAAAGTCTCCAACAGGGTCGAGTCCCCACTCTAAGAACAAGGAATGCATTTCCCATAATGCCATGACCCCATCCTCGATTTATTTTTTGTTTTTTTTTTCTGGATAAGAGACAGACTTATCATTAAAAGGGAACAACAAAAGACAGCCTAAGGACAAGGGACAAGGTATCCCATTCCAAAATAACACTAATAGAGGAGAGCTCTCCAATCTTTGAGTGATTTGAGAGAGGCTGTAATTACAGAAGAATTTCTTGTTCCTATAAAACCACCACGAAGCCGTAATATGAACACTATTACAGAAAGAATCAAAAGAAAACGCCTTGTCCTCAAAGGATCGCAGATTCCTTTCTAGCCACAACTGCCATAGGAAGGCTTTTAAGGCACAGTCCCACAACTCTTTACTTTTGCCTTTGAGACCCCACCCTTGAAAGCATTCTGCTAACCACTCATCTATCCTCTTAGGCAAGCAAGTAGACATGGAGAAGATTTCAAAAAGTTTCTGTCATCCCCTATTTAGCAAACGAACAGTGTAAAAAGAGGTGATCTAAGGTCTCTTCACTATCGGAACAGAGGCAGCAAATAGCGGGCGAGAGATTCCACCTTGGGCATCTTTTTTGGAGACGATCATGAGTGTTCAGGGCTCTGTTAGCTAAAGACCACATAAACACCTTGATTTTCTTAGGGGCAGAGTCCTTCCAAATGCCTTCAGTCAATCGAGGCTGTAACTTTGGAGTAGTTTCCATCAGATTCAAAAAGGAGGATTTTGTAGTAAACCGACCGTCCTTCTCCAAAGTCCATAACACCCTGTCTGTTCCCTCTCCAAGCTCAACGGGGTCCAGGAACTGAACTAGACTCTCCCACGAAGCAATCTCCCAGTCGAAGAGACCTCTTCTAAAACCCAAATCCCAACTATTCTGATCTGAATTCCAACACTCAGCTAAAGTAGCATTTTGCTTCAAAGATACCACAAAAGGTCCGGAAAGACTTGCGCTAGAGGAATTTCTCCAACCAACAGTCCTACCAGAAAAAATGCGATCTCCATGGCCAGCTTTAAAGTGATGGAACTTTTGAAAAAAATGACTCAGCTTAGCAATGTCGTGCCCGGTCTCCCCCTCGCTCTTCCTCTGGGATCTAAAGACATCAACCCCTTGTGTCAACTCCATAAATACTAGCAATCACCTTGCGCCAAAAGGCCTTCTCCTCCTTCATAAACCTCCACAGCCATTTGCTCAACAAAGCTTTGTTTCGTTGTCTGAATGCGCTAAAGCCCAATCCACCAAGTTTGACAGGTAAAGAAGTCTGAGCCCAATTAACAAGGTTTCTACATGGGTGATGGGGACCCCCATCCCAGAAGAAATCTCTAGCAATCTTATCGATTTCTAAGGTGATGCTTGCCGAGGCTTTGAGAAGAGAAAAATAGAGAAACCAGTTCCAAATTGCTTTTAAAGCCTGGGCAAAAGATGATAGTATCATCAGCATACTGTAAGTGAGAAACCAGTTCCTTCCCTTCCTACTTCAAAACCTTTAAGCTAGGAAACACGGACACTTATTTTTGGGCGAAGTATCTGTGTCGGACACTACGCACGGACGCATCGGACACATGTCAGACACGCATTTTTGCGTGTCTGAATTTATTTATTTATTTTTTAAATATTGGACACGGCTGGACACGGCCTGTGCAACTTTGTGGGTTTTCTGGACCCAAATAGAAAGGCCCAATGGCCATTAGTAATTTAAAAAAAACAACAAATAAATGAAAAACCTAATACCCAGTACCCACCCACGATAACACACCACCCATTTCCCACTGCACGCATTCTTTGCCGTCGCCGCCGCTTGCCCTTGCCGCCGCCGACGCCGACGCTCGCCCTTGCCGCAGCCGACGCCG